CTTTGTGTTTCCCATTAGTCTCTCTTGGATCGTGGAAAAATGTAAACTTTGGAGACCGAAAGTTCTTAGGTTACTTTAACTCTGTGTGAGTCTCTATCCCACATAGGTTTCTGTGTCTTTCTGCTATTCCTGTACTTGCTCATGGTCTATTTTAAAGTTTGCCAGTCATTAACCAATACTTCTGGCATCATAAACAGGCATAGTTTTTTCTGCTTAATGTTTGTGTAAGTAGGCCTTGTCAGAATGGCTAAAGAAGGCAGTAAATACTAATGCTGCAGTAACCAGAAGCTCCACAGCTAAAAGGAATTGGCTTAGTACGAAAGAGTTACAAGTCTCGTGAGTAAACAGCTAGAAAACATTTCCACAGGAAGAACTTCATAATCTGTCTTGGATTGTTTCTCTGAAGAAGCAGTTTCAAGGCCATAGTTCTTTCTAAAAAGTATCTAATGATCCACATATTACATTAATATGTATTACGGTTTTGTTATTGCAACTTAGAGATCTGAATTGAAAATCTGATTAAGATATTATTTTATTCTGTATGTTCTTGGACATTGTATGACAATAGCAGCAGAGATTTAAAAAATTCATTACTTATGATAATGATTTTACTGTTGCTAATAAAAGGACAAATAAATTGACTTTTAAAATGCACAAATTCCAAAAGAAAATGAAAATTCAGTATCTAATATAAAACTCAATAAAAAGATCTGAGTTGATATCATTCTGTTGCCTGGCAGTTTAGCTCAGATGCAAACATACTGCTGTTTTTCTCTACAATTATAAATAGAAAATTTTAAAGATTATATAAGTGTGTTGGCAAGGGAAGAGTTAATCTTTTGAGAACAAAAGTTTCATCCATAATAATGTTTTGTTTAAACTTCAACTGGTGTATAGTCAAAACTGGAATTACACTTACAAATACAGTTCTACATGTAAACAGCAAATTGCATAAACAACTCTTTTTAGCCAAACAGACCATTTTATAGAAACAAGCTAAGGAATACATACATATACCTGTATGTTTGTGTTCATATACATGCATGAAAGCTTTCCCAGAATTGCTACTGGAAACTTGTCCCTTAATGTACCCTAAATCTGTATTTGCTCATTTGAAACCATGGAACTTACCTTTCTATAATACAGTGCATTACAGAATACACAGACAAACTAAAAAAATAAAGGAGGAAACTGCTCTCACAGTGCTCTATAAACGTTCTTATGTCCTCAGCTTCTGAAACATTTAAGATTATTAACTTGCTGGCAGGCTCCTGAGGAATCTTAAGGCATCTATGCCTGTGCTACTTATTTTAAGGTCTGTCTTCCAATGTTATGAAATCAGCAAACTCTCCCGACTTTCTCAGTAATTCCATTTCATGTGGTTCTGGCTTTCAGGCAGATTCAAGAATGACATCATCGTCTTTTCCCACCCACAGGTTTTGGACTGTTGCTGTTGGTTACACCCTTCCAAGTAATGTGCAACATGAATCTTTGTCTGATCCTATATGCCCATAAATGGAAGATAGCCCAGCAAAGATAACTGAAACACCGTTTCTTCTCCTTCTGTTGATCACCACTTTTGTCTGATCCCATATGCCCATAAACGGAAGATAGCCCACACCGTTTCTTCTCCTTCTGTTGATCACCACCTTAGGTAGGGCAAGGCTTCTTCAGGTTTTTTCCTATGGGTTAATGTTACTCAGGCTTCAGTGCAGGAATGTCAGTCCAACGTTCTGGTGTTATAAAACAAAGTGGACTGGTTTTCCAATAAACTTTACTCCTGTAAAGTTTAGGGAGAGCAGATATCTCGAATATAGTAGCAGTGAATAAACAAGCTCTTCAAAGTGCTTCTTTTGTGTTTTCTACTTCAGCGTTTATGCCAATGCCCTCCAAAAGTACAGAATTCTCCACTTTTGTAAAAAAACCCAGAACTTGGCTAGTACGTACTCATAAGCACTATCGCAATCGTACTTTGTGTTATTAACAGTAGAGGATTCGAGTACCAAGCTCTACAGCAACAAGATAAACATTACGGGGAAAAGGCACTTTCTGATGTTTGTTATCAGCATTAGAGAATTAGAAGCAATTTACAGTCCAGTGCCACTGCTCAGTCTCACAAATCCTCTCCTGACTTCCCTGAAGACTATGAGAGTGTCTGTATGCATAAGAAATACTGCTTGTTAACACAGCATAGAAAGCAAGGCCTCCAGCTATGCGTAGTGCAATGCTGAGGCACCCTTGTGAGAGCAGGACGCAAAATGCTTTGCCCTAGGCCCAAATTCAGAGTTTCAGAGAAAGAAGTATTCTTTTATCCTTGGAAAGTGTAATTTGTGCAGCAATGGCACAGCTCGGTCTGCCTTGGCCATTGGCCCCAGACTCACTGGTCCCTGCAGCAGTTCTGAGAAGACAGTGCCCGTATGCGCCTGTCTGGTCCATATTGGATAGCACAAGGGGATACACCTATCCTTCCCCTTCTACTTTCTACCTACCTCTAAATATTGTTTCGCCCCGCAGATTAGCTCTAATGACAACTTGATCTGTATGCCTCTGTCACCAAAAATATCTAGCAAAAAACACCATTAATTTCCTAAAGCCTTTCATTTGCAGGATTTGCCTCCAGGAGATGTGCTCTTTAGAGTCATGCTTTTCATGCTTGGTCAAACTTTTAAATACTGCATAGCATCATGTCTACGTGAACCTCTTAAGCTCAGGACTACCAAGAGGCATTGCTCCAGGTCAGCTTCAGGGCAATTACTTACTAGTTGGCAGTTACATCGCTGCTTTAAGAGCTGGCACGGAACTGCCAGGCAAATAAAAAAGCATGTATCATGCTCAAGGAAGCACTAGTCCATGTCACAAAGAAATGGAGAAGAACGCATCAAGTTATCACCACAAAAATAAATGACCTAACCTGAAAAGTTTAAAAAATCCTGACTTCTCATTTCTTTCTCTTCTTGGGCAATGAGTCAATTCTGGAAAAAACAACAACTGGGCAATGTGAGGCAATGACTTCTCAGCAGGATGTGCAGGCTAAAGATAGAAGAGGAGAAGCTAGAAGACAAAGTTCTCATGGGATGTTTTTTTATGGTCAGGTACACTCTTGTATCTCCACTTGGTCCTCTTCTAAGTTCAGTGCAGCTAAGAGTTATGCCTTTCTCTCACTCCCAGCAGTGTGTTATAATCCATTTGAACACGTATCTAGCAGGAAGAAAACTGTGAGACAGGCTAGAAAATGAGACATATTGATGGTGGCGGTCAACAGAGTGGAAATTATTGCAACAGGAATTCCATGTGAAATGGATCCAGTAGATTATTTCCTTTTCTAGTCTCTGTTCACAGTGCAAGCTACAGTAATATTTTTGTTTCTGTGATAGAAATTACCTCATTAATAGGTTACAACATTTTAGGAAAGGGATAATATGAAAATCCCATAAAATTCTACTTTAATGCTATTAAAAAGTCCAAGACACTCTAAAATGTGTTCTCTCAAGGCAACAGTTAAGTTCTAGCAAATTTATCTGTCCTTTACTGAAAGAATAAAATAGAAGATTATTTAGATGGCCAAGCTCTTAAAATTTTACTAAGTATTTTTAACTCTGCCTATAGTGAGATCTATTTTTCTTCTAGTAATGCAATTATTGTTAATAGCTGTTCTGATACTAAGAAAGAAGATCTGTTTTAGCTGCAGTGGAATTTTAGTTATTTAAAACATTAAATTCGTCCATCCACATTAACATCAACACAAAACATTTTAGTTTCTCATAATGACAAACAATACCATTTACATAAGAAATTTCAGAAATTTTTTAAATTCTTATACACCCTATATTTTTTTACTATATATAAAGATAAGAGTAGCTAGGAAAGTATTCAACTTCTGCCACTATCTCATGGCAAGAAGATAACAGATATTTGTCTAGAAAGATAGTAAGAGTCTTTCTAAATGGACAAGTAAGAAGGTATATGTCATGATAGACTGTATCAGTTGATATTTTACTCCTGGAACAGATGAAGGCTAAGAAACCAAAGTGCTTATCCAACCTTCTCCAATAGCCTTACCTGTCGGAATACTTGGGGCAAGTTGTCAGCTAGAATCGTCACTCTGCAGCGGTCAGTCGTAATGGAAAACCAGCGCCTGAATTGCTGGCTAGAGCTGAGCACACAGCGCAAACATTTTGTGTACTGAGTTTAACAACATTCACGTCCTTAGTAAATCTGCTTTTTGACAATATTCTAAAAAAATATTGTCAAGAACGTTACAGAAACAAAACATTTGTACACTTTTTTAGCAGCATGTTCTTACAAAGATAAAGCCGATTTTCTTTCGTAAAAATAGTGGTAATAAGGACAATTCTGTGAGTCACACCCGGTTAATCAATAGACAGAAAATATCAGATCATCCCCTCACACATCAAAACAACCTGTACTGAAAATAGTACATTGTAACAAGTGATTTATGACCAACTGTACTCCACAATGAACAGGTAAAAACTGTATTAGTCAAATGAATTATTATCATAAAAGCTATGTTCTCACTCTGATTTTAAATTTCCCTCATGTGCAGTGCAAAAACCCCTACATTTAAAAGAGCTGAAGATAGTCCACAGATTTCAAAGAGATCAAAATAAGCTTTTGGAAATGTTGGCATTTTAGTATCGATAATCAAAAAGACCAATTCCTGTACTAGGTATGTTTCAGCAGGTAGATGAGATGGCAGTTTTCATCAATGTTTTGAGTGCTTACCAATCTCTGTTCCCGTTTAAATTTGCAATAAAACTTTAACTGACTTGAATGAGGGAAGTAAGAGTAATACAGCCTAATGTACTGAAAATCCCATTGCTGATTTTCAAACAGTTTAACAGAAGGAGTGTTCATGGTACCTACATATTACAGCATTATTTATTGTACCATTTGGTTACTTTTCATTTCATTTCACTGGTGACATAGAAGTGACTGCACTGTGTTGAGCTGGAGCTGACTTTTAAATGATGCTTTTAAATCATGCAAGATTTCTTATTTAAAAATAAACTTGAAAGTTTGGAAAAAAAATTAAATAAGCCAATGAATTAAATCTATTTTACTGTCAGGTTTTGCCTCATACAAATTTTTTCAAAGACTATCTCTCAGTTAGAAACAAGACTGCTTCATTCATTCATGGGCAATACTTTGGCTCCATGTGCATTTATATATGTAAGAAGAATTTTAGACCTCCTTTCTATGACATCAATAAGCTTTTCAATTCCTTTTCTGCCTCCTTGGCTCTCCCAGTATATTTTGTCAAGGAACAAAGACTGTAGCAACTTCTCACGTAAACGATGGCTCCTCAGTACTGAAACTGCAGATTCAGGGAATCTGGAAAAGCACAAAGAAATTCATCAGCTTTGCCATCACTCTGAATTGCAATATTTATGTTGTGGTTTAGCAATCAATTCTATGAATGCACACTGCGACTCAGCAAAGGAAGCCCGTGCATGCCTAATCATACGCACGTTAATCGTATCTTTTACAGAAGTGCAATTACTCACACATTTTTAGACATATCCTGTAAATACCTTGCGCCCACGATATCTATTCTGGTAATGTAGTGTCTCATGGTCAAACTAGGAAGAAATTATCAATCTTTCTACAAAATTAATAACTTAAAACTTACTCAGTGATTCCTTGTAGTATTTTGAAGTCAAGATTGTCCTCGTTTCTGTCAAAGAAACCCTTATTGTCTATAAAGGCCAAGTGCCTTCGGTCATTCCTTCTCTGAACTATGTGTGTCAGGTCAACAGCATCCTGGTCACTACATTTCACCTTCAGTCCATGCTGCATGCAGGAATCCTCCTTGAGAGGTTTGAATCCACAGCAGTTTCTGTCTAGTCGATTATAGATCTGAAACAAAGTACAGCAGATTGCCAAAATACTGAAGTATTTGGGGCAAAGTGTCACTGTAAGACATCTCTCACTAATGCAGCTGACAGGAAAGCAAGCTCAGGACAAATATAATTAAAGTCAGCAGTGAAATGTCATTGGAGACCTGGTCCCCACAGTTCATGTGCTGTGAGAAGAAATTTCCCAGTCTGCGTATTTAATCCATTTTACAGCTATGATTTGTTATGTCAGTAGAAATTCTTTGAAAATAATGGAACAATACCACTGTGTAACTGGAATAACAAGATGGTGAATAAAATTCCATTTTTTTCAGAAGGCTGCAGGTTTTTTATATTTTCTGTGCTGGAGAACAATAGAAACAGCACAGCTTTACACACACAAGAGGGTCTCCATTTTGTGGAACCTATTAGACTAATAATACGCAAAATAATTGAAAAGATTAGTAAGGGGTACAGCACACCATCAGAAGCTACAAAACGCAAGGAAGAAGAGTGCATGTATAACCACAGAGCAGCCTCCCTGAGTTGCACTGTGATATATACTTTAATGACATGATGGTCTAGGCTATTTTTTCCCATGAGAACCCTTGCTTATTCGTCGCACAGCACTTAGCTGGAAGGAACACATCTGGTCTAACTTTAGTAGTGTAAATGTTAAGCATCTCTTCTGACTTAGTTGTTTATGTTCCCTTTCATAAACAATGACAAGAACAAGGCACCCCTAGAGCAAAGGATGCCATTTTAGGATAACCATCTAATATGGAAAGGATAAATCACTCCTTGGAAGTGCTTCTACCGCTATTGACTAGACAAGAGTAAATACACAACATTGCCAGGGCCCTGAATGCCTTAAGAGCTGTAAACACCTTCACCTGGGACCTCTACACACCCACCCTTAGCCAGCTGGGCCCAAGAGCCCTATTTAAGCTCAGGTCTGGTGCCTCAGCCCTCCTCTGAGCCATTTGGTGGTGGGAAGCGTGTGGTGTATCTGCTGCCTGTCCTGCAACCTGATGCTCCTGGATTGCCGCTTGAGGCTCCTGCTTGTTGGCCTCAGACCTGGCTTGCTGCTTTGTCCATGCCTGATGCTCACTGGGCTATCAATGGGACCTGTGGCTCTCACTGCCCTTCCTGCTGGGCTGCCTGTCCTGTCTACTGCAGGGCTGCCCTTGGCTCCAGCTTATTTCTGCAGGGATCAGTCCTGCTCCTGCCAACAGGTGCCTACAGAGCAGAAGTCTGGTCTGGTATATCTAAGGCTTAATGAGTAGCTTATCAAAGGTAAATCATTTTTTCTATCCTTGTTTGTTGTATGCTGCTAACACTTCACACTGCTCTAAGCATAGAAGTATTAATGTTCACATAAGCCTTCTAAAATCACAGTTTCATTTTTGTGACACTCAATGAAATGAACTGTTAGGGCTCTTCTCTTGATGTAGAATTATGTTGCATGTTCAAAAGGCCTCCTAATTTTGTTCATCAAATGCAAGTCTGAGAGTCGTTTTGTTTTTTCTTAAGTGTGTAGTACCATTGCTACTGATCTTGGTGGCAGTGCTTGTGTTCAACTGTGAAAATTCAGAGGAAAGGAACAGATTTCTCCTCTTTCTGCTTTCATGAGCAGCATTCAGCATCTGCAGGTGTCCAGTCATTCCAGTGTTAATGATGTGACACTCTGGAATTGATGCTGCAACCTTAATAGTTTAGACCTTAATAGTTTAGCTTTGGTTTTTGTCATGTATTTATGCACGAGAGGTCCAAACCCCTGAAATTAAAGAAAGTGTTTTACACTTAATGTCCTTATTACTTGAGTTGTTACAGAGACAAGTGAAGGTCAGATATAAGCATTTTTTTCAGCCTGCACCTCTGTTTTATAGCATTTGAATTCAGATGATTGAAAGAGATTGGAACATCTATTATGGGCACCAAACCTATTCTTCTGAAGGAAGTATGTTTAATAGAGAATACTTTTCACCATTATTCTTTATTTCTGAATGACTCATGAAGCACAAATCTTCTTCTTGGCATTTTTTGTTTTAGAGTCTTCATGTTCTACTGCTGATAAACTTTAAAGTTAAGTCTTAAAGTTAAGTCTGAGAGCCCCCAGATAAAATTTTAATCTTTAAGAACTGTAAGACCCGCTTTCACTCACTTTCTGGTATGCACATTCTTGTCTGGTAGGTAACTAGAGGTATAAATTGCTCTGATACCAGTTACTCTTACAATGACTAATTTGTTTCTTTACTTCATGTACAGTTCAATCCTGTTGTATCTTATTTTGACTGTCCTGGATAATAGGAGTTCTATTATGAAGATTAAAAACTTGTATTGGAAGACCTTTAAATTAGAAATCACCACAGAACTCATAAGAATTTTTAAACTGTTCAACAAGAAGACAATGGCATTAAAACATTATGACACAATCTCTGCTATTCCTATATAGGCATGACTATGTTTAGCACCAGAATAATCTACATATGACTTTATACCAGTTTCTAAGAATTACTTGTTCACAGTGGGACTAAAGATGGAGTTATTAGACAAGGGACAATCTATTTTTAGAGGAGAATTGAGTGCTCTGTTTAACATAAGTCTGCAAAAATGTAACTCAAAAAAAATTGAAATCATCCATTCATTCTAGAACAGGGCTGAGCAGGACACAGATAGGCTACGCATAAGCCAAGTCATGTTTTTTTATATTTTGAGAAATGTAACTCTATAAAAAGCTGAATTATATGAACAAGCAAACACAGTGCATAAAACTAGTGGTTGCTGCAGTTTTAAATAACCTAGTAAGTGCTACAGGAGGCTCAGTCACCCAGACCTGTCTGGCAGGCAAGGACAATTGGAAATAGTGCCATATCTTAGGAAGCCATAAAATTAGCTTTCAGTCAGGTGTTGTAGTTCAGTCCTTATTAATACAGGGAGTGTATTAATATTCTACTACATACTTGCTGTAACTGTAGCTACACATTATGATACCACTGGGCAGAGCTCTAGTTTTGTGTTATTGGGAGAGCTAATGATTATGTGCAATACCTAATTGAGGAACAGCAGCCATATTCATCAGTTGTTGCTCTACTGGCCAGATTTTTAAAAAGAAGGAAAATGAGGCACTACAACTATTACCTTGATCCAGATTTCAGCTGACTAAAACCACTTCAATCACCTCTGGGGGCTGGGGAGGTGCAGGAAGAATCACGAGATAAAAAAGTGGTTTAAAGTTGTGAACATAGTCAAGAACTATGTTTGGAGAAACAAGGAGTCAAGGAGCAACAGTATGGCCTGCCTCAAGGTGAGGTAAAATAAGACGTCTCAAGACAAAAGCCTTTACTTGCTTTTTCAGAAAACGAGTCAGTTAAGTTCCTGATCTCT